TGATTCTCAGCCCTGCCCTAAGGCGCCGGCCCGTCTCAGTGTCCTGGTAATTGCTGCCAGCACCTCTGAGGGAAAGCCGTCCTCAAGTTCCGAGTTCTGCCTGCTGCCAGACTGTCCAGTTTCTCCCCGTATGAGTCCTGGGACCCCAGAGATTTCCCGGAACCGGAGTTCAGAGCAGTCGGGAGCTTGTGACTCCCTCCCGATTCAAAAAGACAGCCGCGTCCTCAGGTGCCCGCCCCTTTCCGCGCGCGCCGGAGCCTCCGTACCTCTGCACTTCACTTTCGTAGTTCCTCTGAGTCTGTGTGCTCTTCTCTTTCCTTCTAGTTGTAGAGTTTCCACTCAGCCAGCCTTCCTGTGGTTCTGGATGATGACCGTTCTCCCTTTTAGTTGTATTTTTGAAGTTGTTGTCGGAGGCAGCAATTTCCGGTGTTTTTCTATGCCGCCATCTTGGTTCCCCCTTCTGCCCTCATTTTAAATGAGGTTTCTGTTTAATTTTTATAATACACATGCCAGTTCCTTTGGAAGACTCTTAAGAGCCCAAACTGAGACCAGGGACACAGATTTAGTCTCACTTTCACTTTTGGCTTTCCCTAGGTGTCTCTGTGTCCTTATCTGTGAAAAAATTATTTTGTTGCCTTACATTTCAGAGTGGTCTGGAGAATCATGGAGTGACTATTTCTGGAAGTGATGTATTTTATCCAGCTCTTACTATTACCCTTGCTTGTGTTCCGGGAGTGGGTTATTTCTTTATTACATATATTTTTTTAATTTTTCAATTACAGTTGACATGCAATATAATGTTAGTTTCTGGTGTACAACCCAGTAATTAGACATATAACTTACAAAGTAATTACCCCACAAATCTAGTACCCATATGACACCATACATAGTTATTACAATATTATTGATTACTGGAGGCCTGTTGCACGAAGTGATTTCCCCTGGCTGCTGGCACCGGTTTGCCTCCGGCGCCCAGGGCCCAGGCCTTCGCTCTGGCCGAGTTCTGACCAGAGCCGGCCCTGGGGTCGTCAGACCTCGCTGCTCCACCAGCCCCGGGCCATCAGGCTTTGCTCCACCACTTAGAGCCTATGTATGCAAGTTAACCGCCATCTTTGTTGGCAGTTAATTTGCATATTGTGCTGATTAACCTATTGGAGGTGTAGCGAAGGTATGGTCAATTACCATGTTTGTCTATTATTAGATAGGATACTTTCTATGCTGTACTTTACATCCCCATGACTATTCTGTAAGTACCAATTTGTACTTCTTAATCTCTTCGCCGTTTTTACCCAGCCCCAGCCCTCTCCTATCTGGCAACTATCAAAATGTTCTCTGTATCAGGGAATCTATTTCTGCTTATTTGCTTATTTTTTTCTTTTAGATTCCCATAGAAGTGAAATCATGTGGCATTTGTTTTTCTCTCAGCACAACCCCTCTGGGTTTATCCATGTTGTTGCAGATGACAATATTTCATTCTTCTTTATGGCTAAATCATAGTCCATTGTATATAGACACCACTTCTTCTTTACCCATTCATCTGTTGATGGACACTAGGCTGCTTCCATATCTTGGCTATTGTAAATAAAGCTGCAATAAATGTATGGATGTATATGAAAATTTTTTAAAATAATTTTCATTTTTCAATTACAGTTGGCATACAATTTTATATTAGTTTCAGGTGCAACCCAGTAATTAGATATTATATAACTTACTAAGTGATCATGTAGAAAAATCCTTTAACCATCTGACATCACACATAATTATTGCAGTATTATTGATTATATTCCCTGTGCTGGACTTTACATCTCTATGTCTATTCTGTAACTACTGTTGTAATGTACCTCGCGAATCACAGAAGGACACCTCAAGAAGTTGAATTAAAGAGTCACATTTATTGCAATCCGGGACTATGAGGGGGCATTTCGCTTTCCCAAATCTCACAGTGAGAAGATGGCCGCAACACCAGATTTATATAGGCAAAAATCACAAAGGTATTAATTAGATCCCAGGGTTTGGAATGAGGACCCTGGTTTTCACAAAGCAGTTACAGAAGCGAGATTGAGCCGATTAGTTATCTACAAAGATTAATTATAGTTTTGGGTCTTTGGACCACTGAGTTGACAGAAACACATTATCTAGAGCCCTCGGTTCTTGGGACCACTGAGTAGACAGGGAAACATTATCTGGAACCCTCAGGTCTTGGGATAATTGTGCTGTCCTGGTTCCCAGGTACAGAGGAATTTGCTTTCTAAAACCAGTACGATCACAATCAATGGGATATTCACATTACAATCAATAAGGCATTCAATCTAATGGGATGATGCAGAAAACAAAGTAACTTTTCTATTGTAAACAAAGCAAATAAGTACAGAAGCCAAACAGCAGGGTTAAAGTTAAACTACAGTTTCTACATGAGATGATTGCTACCATACTTCACTACCAATTTTTTTTGTTGTTGGTTAAGGTATTACATATGTGTCCTTATTATATATGTCCTTTTAATTTAGTGTTTTGGATTACTTAGGATAATTACTCAGAAGTGGAATTGCTGGGTCCTTCTTTGTCTGCTGTTATAGCCTTTGTAATAAAGTCTATTTTGTCTTGTGTAAGTATTGCTACCCCAACTTTGTTTTCATTTTCATTTTCAGGAAATATCTTTTTCCATCCCTTTACTTTCAGTCTGGGCATGTCTTTCCATCTGGAGTCTCTTGTAGAGCCTATGGAAAGGTCTTGTTTGTTATCCCTTCACTGAGCCATGCTGGCCAGGCTGCGTGTCTTCCTCCAACCCAGTT